ATTTTTATTTTTTTCAGAGACAGGGTCTTGCTATGTTGTCCAGGCTGGAGTGTAGTGGCATGATTGTAGCTCACTGTAGCCTCAAACTCCTGGGCTCAAGTAATCCTCCTACCTCAGCCTTTGAGTAGTTAGGACTACAGGCATGAGCCACCATACCTAGCTAATTTATTTATTTATTTTTGTAGAGATGGAATCACCCTATGTTGTCTCAAACTCCTGGCCTCAAGCTATCCTCCTGCCTCAGCCTCCCAAAGTACTAGAATTATAGGCATGAGCCATCATGCATGGCTAATTTTTAATATCTTTTTGTTTTTTTTTTTTTCTGAGATGGAGTCTTGCACTGTTGCCCAGGCTACAGTGCAGTGGCAAGATCTCGGCTCACTACAAGCTCCACCTCCTGGGTTCACGCCATTCTCTTGCCTCAGCCTCCTGAGTAGCTGGGACTACAGGTGCCTGCCACCACGCCCGGCTAATTTTTTGTACTTTTAGTAGAGATGGGGTTTCACTGTGTTAGCCAGGATGGTCTCGATCTCTTGACCTCGTGATCCACCCGCCTTGGCCTCCCAAAGTGTTGGAATTACAGGCGTTGAGCCATCGCGCCTGGCCTAATCTCTTTTTCAACTGACAAAGTTCTTTAAGTATCGTGTCCCTAACTCCGTTTTCCCAACAAGCTTTGTGGTTTTTACTGCATAATAATTTTTTGCAATTTTATATCTTATTGTAGTAGAACTGACTATATTACTGCTTAGGAAAAAAATCAGTGACCAATCTATGTTTTCAAGGATAACAGACGGAGGACAGGCACGGTGGCTCATGCCTATAATCCCAGCTCTTTGAGAGGGCAAAACAATAGGATCGCTTGAGACCAGCCTGGACAACACAGCAAGACTTTGTTTCTAGAAAAAATAAAACTATTAACTGTGCATGGTGATGCATGCCTGTAGTCCTAGCTACTCAGAAGCTTGAAGTGGGAGGATCGCTTGAACCCAAGAATTTGAGGTTACAGTGAGCTATGATGGCACCACTGCACTCCAGCCTAGGTGACAGAACAAGATACAGTCTCTTAAAAAAGAAAGAAAACAGGAAAACTTCAGCAAGCCGGCTTAAGCATTAAAGTCAGAAAAAAATCTTTTTCTGTAAGCTCTCTCCTGAAGAGCTGTTTTTTCCTCCAAGGTTTCATCCACTGACTAGGCAGCTCCTAAATCATATACCAGATTTGGAGCTGGAAGTGTACCATTTACCTTGAAATAGTGAACAAAAATTTGAATTTTTCAAGAACTAAAGAGGGGACACTGAATGCATCTTCCAAATTTAGACCTTGATTCTGGCAGAAAATCTTGGCAATCTTGGCATGTACCCCTGTAAATGCTTCCTGTTCAGTAATGAGATAGTCAATAGCTACTCAATACTTACCATGAAAAAAGATGCAGCAAAAACATTATTTCTGCAATATAGTTATAATGGTACAGTACAAACCACAGAACCTTTACACTTATTCACTCCTAATTATTGATTAGCCCAGAGGTAAAGAAAATAGTGAAATAAAAAAAGTCATACATCTTTCCTCGTTTCCATGCAGAATAGAAACAGGACAGGCTGGAGGACTTAGCACAGAAGCCAAAGCCTGGCTAAAACCTGCCACTCAGAGCTAAAGGGCAGGTAAAAATAATGCTGCTATTTAGCATGCACAAGAAAGATAGAGAATGTCATTGTTTTGTCTTCTTGAATAAACCTGGACAAAAAACCAGGACTTATGCCAAAAGTAACAAACAAAAGCATTGTACGACATGTCCTTCTATACATGGGGCAAAGTCATGGGCATTACAGTCATGATCCTGGCACTATTTCTTAAACAATTAAATGTAACACCCTTTAAAAAATAATTGTGACTTTTGTTTACATACAAATGCACATATCTATGCAAAGGGGAAAAAGTGAAAGGAAAGAAACACCAAAATGGCAACAGTAGTAATACCTGGATAATGAGATGACAGATTGATTTTTTTCTTGTCTATAACTTTCATTATTTTACGATGAATATATATTACTTTTACTATCACAGGAAAACAAATATCTTTTTAAACAGTTAACTGAAAGAGGTAAATCCCTTATCATAGTTCATGTAGAATGAATAGTAAGCCAGAATGAGAGTCAAGTGGATGATGAAAAACAGAGTAGTAAGCCAGCAAACATCCCTGCTACTTCCAAAGGGTCAAAGGTGAGTAGACTGGATTTGGAGAACACCCCACCCCTGACCCCCATGAAGGAAAATTACTGAAACTAGAGCACAAAGGCAACTCTGCAGGAAATCTCATCTTCAGGAATGTGGATGGGTGCAATGACAGACACTATCTATGGATGTCCAACCTTTTGGCTTCCCCGGGCCACACTGGAAGAAGAATTGTCTCGGGCCACACATAAAATACACTATCACTAACAAAAGCTGATGAACTAACAAAAAAGGTCCATGCCTAATTTTCATGATTCTGTCACCACAGATAAGCAAAAAAATCCTCGCATTCAAAGGGCTGGACACAGCTGCCACCCGGCAGACATAAATCACTTGTTTGTCCCTGCTTTTATCAGCCAGCATTTTGGTGATTCCTATTGGCATTCTGAAAAATCATCACCTTTTGGGCAAAGCTCATATAGAGTCATTTAATCAAATTTAACACTGTCTGACAGCAGAGAATATGGAAATATGATATAACTAAGACAACCAGTGATAAAAGCATAAGAAATGTGCAAAAGGCCACTACAGATTTTCTAGCCAGCTTTCTCTCAACAACATTACCACAATGACAATGAATATTCATTACCCATTGAGAAAGCACATAAAAGTGAACTACTGGGTATATGACACTGTCCTAGACACTATGGTGAACACAAAAGTAACAAAGTGCAGTCATTCTCTTCATAGCATTCACACATTTGATGGGGAAAGATATGATATCAGAAATACTTAAATCAGACCAAGATAATTAAATGGCTAAATGAACTGCACACATAAATACTGAAGACACTTAAAGGAAGGTCTGCTCAATATGGACTTAAATAGTTCGCTTCAAAGAGGAAGATAATTTTGACAGTGTTAGAAGAGACACAAGGGTGGTTCAGGCACAGTTACCACTGTAAGCGAAGTCACTGGGGTGGAAAAGGCAATGATGAGTCTGGACACACTGGAATAAAATTACCAGGATGGGGAAAAATAAAAAGAAGGAAGGGGAGAGATTGGGTTTCTTTACCTCAAATCTGTCTAATATACCATTATGAGATTAAGAACACTTGTGCAAGCATAAGAACATTGCATTTCTGCTAAGAGAGATATAGTATCAAATATCACAATTCCAAAGTAGGTGCCATTTTACAGATAGAAACTGAAATTAAACAGAGAAGCTAACTAATTTGCCCAAGGTTATCAAGTTTAGCAACAGAGATGAGATTTGAATACAGGCCTACTCAGCTCTAAAGTCTATGCTCTTTTTTGTACTACTCCATCTTTACTACCTCTTCCTAAAGCAAAGCTCCGATAACATCACTGAATTCATACTGTCCCGCTATGACAGTGTATTTTCCCACCCTTTGACTGCCCAGCATCTCTAGTGATGCCCTGCACTCAGGAGACTCATATCTGCAGATAAAATTAAAATGACCCGTAACAGTCTGCCCTGCTCAAGGGTATTTCCATTGTAACAGGAATCAGAGCCTTAAATTAAAAGAATCAAGCTCCAATATAAACCATGTGGTAGAAATGCCTGTCTTACAAGGGAACAGCTCAAGGCTGTGTCTTTAAGATGTCCATTTTCATAGCTTCTAGTTAAAGCTCATACAGTAAGAATCTCACTCATAAACGCTGAGGGTCTCCATGGAACTCTAACCAGCTCCAATCTGGGCGACAAAAGACCAGATGTGGCTGCAGGTTTGCTTCAAAAGAGAATTGGACATCTCGTTATTTTACATTTTAAGCTTATGACATAAGAAAATGTAAATTAAATATAGCTGACCTTTAAACTGTCACATATTTCTTTAACAGACAGGTTGTCAAAAAATGTGCTTTCTAATCACTCTAGACAATGATCTTACACTGTCTTTGTGACCCGAGAGAGGCATTATGTTTATTACTTCTTACCTTTTCCATTATCAAAGATTTCACAGGCATCAAATGTCAAAAGTGTCATCTTTCAAAGGAACTGAAATAAAATTCGCATGGGATCTCAGAATGTGTAAAGACAAGTAGGGAGAAGATCATGGTCCTGACAGAGGTTGCTCCCTGGCACTCACCACGGAAACAGCCTTCACCGTTCATTTGTTAAAATTGGCATATACTAATAGCTAGGTCAAAGGTCCACCTGATAACTTGAAAGTTCCCCATGGAGGATTTTAATAGGCCAAGGAATTATGAGTTTCGGAATAATGGTTCAAATTTCTACCACAGGAAAACTTCTAGCCTACCCAAAAGCTTCGAAATTAAATTATTCAGAAAATAAAGAGGTTACATTTTACACAGAAAATAAAGAGGTTAATTTGAAAATAAAAGTGATACTGTTTACTCTTTTTCAACAAAAGCTGTTATACCCCTCACCCTAAAAGTATCAGTTTTTTCTAAGACAGGGTCTCACTCTGTTGCCCAGGCTGGAGTGCAGTAGTGGAATCATGGCCCACTGCAGCCTTGAACTCCTGGGCTCAAGTGATCCTCCTGCCTCAGCCTTCTGAATGGCTGGGGTTACAGGCGCAAGCCACCACACCTGGCTTATTTTTTAATTTTTTGTAGAGATACAGTCTTGCTGTGTTGCCCAGGCTGGTCTCAAACTTCTGAACTCAAGCAATTATCCCACCTCTGTCTCCCAAAGTGCTGGGATTACAGGTGTGAGCCACAGCACCCGGCCTTAAAAATTGCTTTCTAAGAAATTCTCATTTTATCAATGCTCTAATATACATGCCAATAGACTTTTAGGCATAGAATTCTTTTCAGAGATGCAAGAAGAGAATGTAGCCCTTACATATCTGGATGGCTCTTCTAGATTCTGGTCATTCATGTCAGTAGGAACAATCCGGGTAGCCAGTGGTCCTTCTGCAAAAGGTTTTGGTAACTGACCTCTGAACTCTGATGGAATGAACTGAAGCTGCCAACTGTCAGAAACACAAGGAAAATAAGAAAAACACAGGGGGATAATATTGCTAAATGTACTTGAAACAAGCAAGCCAGAAAAAATCATGTGAAAAACATTTATCTTGAAGAAAAAATATTTCTGCTAAAACCTCAACCAGGGAGCATAGAGGCAGAGGTCACAAGTCAGTCCAAAATCATTGAGAAATTTACAATTAGCTGTCTCTTGGCCCATTTCACCAACTGTTAGCAGTGAAATTCAGAACCAAATGGTCATATTATCAAAAAACCAGAGAAGTGCCAATGTTTATTGTCAATTACCATGTGGGCAGAGAGACTTATCAAATAAAGCAAATTATCAGGTGTAGAGAAAAAGAATGAAATATGGCACTGAGAACACACTATGGGAGAAATACTTTGTTCCAGAGTAACCCTCAAACATATCTCTATCTATAAAACTATTTCAAATGTAAAAGGCAAAGGCCACAGTCAACACTTAAAAAACAAGTTTTAATTTAATAATTAATGACTGACACAGGGTCTTTATGAAGCATAAGAAACTACTACCCAGTAAAGCTAAGCTAAAGAAGCCAGTTCTCAAATGGAGCAACATGACTCAACCAGATTTCCCTTTAACCTACACAGGACTCTTCTCTGGCCAAACGAAGCAACCTGCAAAGAACTTTAGGGCCTACGCTCTCAGAACCACAGAAAGCATAAAGAAAACTGGTATAGATATTTTAACCACAGCCTTCCCCAGTGTCCATATGATGGTGGAGAACTTTCACTGTTGTTGGATCAAAAATGTCTTCTCTCTTCTAGCTGGAGTTTCTAGACTGCTTTTAGAAGTGGATTAACATGAGGTAATTATAGAAATGTAAATATGAATCCCCAGGAAGAGCCACTGGCAAAAGCCTAGGACCCAGGGGATTTTCAGAAGTTCCCAGACACCTGCAGTTATGGGCAGTAAAGAATGGCTACCTAGACCCATGCCTCAGTCTAATGAGCCCAATGAACACAGGAGGCAGGTACACAGTACACAGGCCTCACAGCTCTCTAAGGTGGTAAATAATTCAATAACTCTCTGTGAAAATTCCAAAAGAAAACAAAAATTCAAAGACACTGACATAGAACTACTCTATTTACTCCTTCATTAAAACCCTGGGAATTAAAGGACAACTTACTTATCGGGAAGAAGGAAGCTGCTGGGAAATCGATACCACTCTTTTCCTACACAGACATTCACAGGTCTGCCTTCTGGGACAGTGTGGATGGTTGGATCTGTAGCAATTCGGTAAAATTCTGGATACAAATCAAGGGGCCCGTGATATCCTGGAAGGGAGAACAGTTAGTGAGAGCCAGAGATGAGTAAGATGAGATTCTGACTTTAATTATACTGCACATTAATGTCACACTCTAAGCCACATGAAATTTAAAAGGCAGGAAGGGCCACAGCTATTCCAGCACGAAGCCTGCTCTACATGTATAAAATGTCTCTCTAGCTGGGAACCTGGTTACAGCAGAGGCCCTATTCTGCCAAAAATAATTGGCTTTCTTGCCCCTTTCTTTATTCTTTCTCCTTTTTAACTTCATTTTCCTTGAGCATATTTTAATATTTTAATATTATGGATCCAAACAATGATTATAAGAAAGAATATAATCAGAAGTTAGCCCAAATTTGCATTTTAAGTTTAAGACTTCCTTAATTTACCAGCATTCATTAAAAGAAAAAAAAAATAGACAAAAAAATGTACAGTTAATCACACTAAAAGGAATTCTCAATCTTCTCTTCAATCCTAAGATGTAGAAGTCACATCCCACTCATTAATATTAAGTCTACAGGTTCTCTTTTTAGAAATGGCTTCTTAGCGTAAGCCAAATGTGTATTATATAATCATGAATCAAGTAAAACCTAAGGGGAAGCGACTCGTCAGTGTAGGTTAAGATATTCTTAGAAGGTCTACCTCTGAACAGTGCCACAGAGCGAGAAAACGACAAAAGCCCAAACAGGAAGACAGTTCCTAATGCCAGCCAATTCGACGTCACAGTATAGTGCTCCAGGCGGTATCGTTGAAACACAAAGTGGTAACATTTCTGGAAGTACAGAAAACTGGCTGATAAAGGAAAATATAACTTGTAGAATAGACATAATTACAAGACATCACAGTAACATCAAAAGCGAAGCCAAAAAAGAGGTTCTATTAGGGATCTGAGCATTTGCAAACAGTGAGGTACCTACTCCAAACTCTAAGATAAAAGCCAGCTCCTCTAAGACTACCTGCAGTCTTGGCCAGGCAGAGGGCTTGCCAACAATAAAATCTCACTAGCTGCATAGGAAAATTATTTGAATATTTTTCTAGCATTTATAGTCCTAATAAGTTATTTTTTTAAGTATTTAAGCAATGGTTTTTTGGTAGTTTTGACATATAAAGTATTTCAATTTGTTTTTGATACAATGAGTACTAATCTTTACTATCAAAGTTTTTATAAAAGCTTTTAGTATCAAAAAAAAGGTCTCATGACCAAATAAGAAAAAAGCATTCCCCTTACAGAACACTAGGCACATGCTCTTAATTATATGCTAAACGACTTTGCAAACTAGATGAATATAATATAAACATGCATGCATGAATTCTGCTGTCTTTGAGTTCCTTCTACTCAGACTTCTTCCCTTCCTTCCTTCCCTTCTAGACAGAAACTACTTTCAGAAAGCAATTTTCCAATATATAACAAATGGCATAAATCTGTTTGAACCCTTTTCATATTTTTTGGAATCTATCCTGAGGAATCAATCCAAATATCTAAATGAAGATACTTATCCTAGCAGTATTTATAATACTGAATAAATGAGCAACCTAAATTCTACCATGAATTATATCCAATAATTATATTATACAAAATCAAGTCAATATATTACATATTACATAATAATGTCATATATTATATCTGATTCTGAACATTCTACAGCTACTAAAATGATAACCACAGAGAATGTTATAATATTAAATTAGAAGGGCTATAAAGTTACATGTATACTTATCACAACTATAACAAACCTTGGTATATGATATACAAAAATACTGGGAGGAGTTTTTGTTAGGTTAATGGGACTAATTTTTCTTTTACCACTTCCTGAATTATCTGCAATAAAGTTCAATTACTTTTATAATTAAAATTATTTTCCAAAACTATCAACTAATATTGATGAACCTTGAAAACATTATGTTAAGAGAAGCCAGTCACAAAAGACCACATATCGTATGTTTCCATGTATAGGAAATGTTCAAAATAGGCAAATCTGTAGGAATAGAAAGTAGAGTAATGGTTATTTAGGATTGGGGAGATATGGGAAAGGAATGGTGGAACAAAAGCTAAAGGGTACAGGCTTTTTGATCTAAAACTGACTGTGGTGACAGTTGCACACATCTGTGAATAGACTAAAAACCACTGAATCATACCCTTTAAATAGGTAAACTATATGGTTTGTGAATTATATCTCAAAAAACCTGTTAAGAAAAAAACCTATCATCCTAATTATTTTTTTTCTGCCAACTGCAAATGGTAGCAGAGGGCAATACAGGGTTCTGAGGGTACTGAAGCCGTAAGTACAGAGTTGTTCAAACAGAGTTAAGATGAGCTCTGCCAGAGAATTGACCTGGGCAGGTTTTCAACCAGGATTACAAAGTGCCCCATACTGTGAACTGCCTGCTGTGATCCCAAACTCTTGAGCAAGTTTTGTTATGATCTAGCAGTTCAAAGAGCAGACGTTCCATTACCTCTGCCACAGAATGGAATTCTGCAATTGGATTCCTGTTGGTAACAGAGGCAAAGTAACACACAAATTAACACTGCAAACATGCAATCAGCAAATATGAGTACGGTAAACAGCTAAGCAATCAATATAAGAAGCTTTAATAATATGATCTATATCAGGTTTAATGTTATGGATAAAATATCTTAGGTGGAAGCATTCTGTAATTTGCACTTAAGTTTTGTGAGCAATTATTTAATAAGTAAAAAAGAATGAGGCAGATATACTTCTCCCTGAAACTTACCTGAAGTGCAGAGAGAGCCACGGCACCACAGAGACATATAAGTGGATATACAGGGAAAAGAAATCTCTCCTCTTTGTGAGGCTGGATGAAGAAAATTATAAACCAAATATACATTGGAGCCAAAGTAAGCCAATATGGGTGGCCTAAATTCTGAACTGCAAGACACAGAAAAATATTCATCTTTCATTATATTAGAACAAAATGACGTATTTAGTTTCAGTGTTATCTTGATCTCATATTTGGGAGTATGCCCTAGGACACTCCACAAAATGTTTCTACTCTTGTATTCACACTTTCTCCAATGCAATAAAGGCATCAAAAGGAGAGAGGAATATACTCCTTAGCTCTCCCAAGAGATCTAAACTCTAACAACAAGCACAATACTAGATTTGGTTAGGACACAAATGAACGTAAAGTTAATGGCTAATAGAACTTAATAAATTCCACATTAGATGAAGAAAAAAAAAGCCGTCTCCTTTAACGAGTCCTGCCACTAAGACGAAAGGTTCCTGAGTTTAACCAAAAACATAACATAAATTCATTTCTTGGGTTTTAATTCTGATGTTGTGTTTAATACATGAATCCTCTTATCTATACACCAATCAGTCTGTTCAAATAGCCATGGATCAAAGGAAAAAAAAAATTGTTGGATTCTCAAACTCATTACTGGTTTTCATCAAGCCACAAATGACAGAGTTTGCTTCAAAGCAAGCATAAAAATGCTCTTAAAGGAAGTTCAGTGATTGTTTTCTCTCCATTTTTTGCAATATGCATCCACTCCAGATCCCCAAATTGGAACAAAAATGTACTTAAAGCATGTGAAAGAATTAAAGGAATGTAATGAACACGAAAACCCAAGAACCTGCTGGAAAGTTCCTGTGGTTAGGTACATGAGCAATGAGTGATAAGCCTGCAACCCACAGTGAAGGCATCTCCTACTGCGTTTACCTGAGCGATAATGAGCAATGCAAACGCAGGCAAATGGTAGATAGACAGCGCCACCTGGTGTCCACCATGTTAACGGTAAGCTACAAGATCAGGACTATCATCAAGACCCTCTTTAGCTATGCCTAATTTAGCATTCCTAGGCTATCAGTATCACCGCAGAAATTCTTTAGGAATGATAAAAATTCTTGAACTACAATAACAAGATTTTTTTTCAACTTTTGCTCTAAGATATTATGGGATTTTAGATTAATTAGATTATTTAGATATTTAGGATATATACCTTTCTAGGTAGTATATTTTAAGGCGGAGGGTTTTTTTTGTTTGTTTTTTGAGATGGAGTCTCTCTGTCGCCCAGGCTGGAGTGCAGTGGCACGATCTTGGCTCACTGCAACCTCCACCTCGCAGGTTCAAAGATTCTCCTGCCTCAGCCTCCTTAGTAACTGGGATTACAGGCATACATCAACACACCAGGCTAATTGCTGTATTTTTAGTAGAGATGAGGTTTCACACTGTTGGCCGTGCTGGTCTTGAACTCCTGACCTCAGGTGATCCACCTGCCTCAGCCTCTCAAAGTGCTGGGATTACAGGCGTGAGCCACCGTGCCTGGTCTAAGGTGGGGTTTTTTAATTAGAATAAAATAAATCCATTTATTGTCCACAAGTAAATGGTCCTTTTCTCTTCTGTACCTTAAAGGATAACGAGTAATCCTTTTTTTTAATAAGGCAAAAAATTTTGAAATGTCCTCCATAAAATATACAAAATCACAACCACAGCTAGATATGATGAAATCATGGGTAATTTATTTCCTGCTTCTTTATAATTTTCTATGGTTTGGGGGACTTTTTTTTCTCTTCAGACAGGGTCTCGCTCTGTCACCCAGGCTGGAGTGTAGTGGCGCAACCATGGCTCACTGTAGCCTTGACCTCCTAGACTTAAGCAATCCTCCCATCTCAGCCTCCCAAATAGCTGGGACTACAGGTGTGCACCATCACGCCTGGTCAATTTTTAAATTTTTTTGTAGTGACAGGGTCTTGCTCTCTCACCCAGGCTGGTCTTGAATTCCTGGGTTCAAGCAATCCTTCCACCTCATCCTCCCAAACTACTGGGATTATAGGCATGAGCCACCGTGCCTGGTCTTTTTTCTCTTAAAAAGGTATTGGTTCTATTGTAAAAATCCCATTAAAATATAAAGAAAAAACCAGAAAATGTTTGTTTTCTTACTAGGTAGATATGTGCATACCTTATGCATTTTAAATCAATTTTTATACTTAAATTTTTATCATACTGTAGGGAACAGCTTAATATTCTGGTTTTTTACTGATTTTACAAGCATTTCCAAATTTTCCAAAAGCATAAATAATTATTATTGTTTTTAAAAACAGAGACACAGGTCTCACTATGTTGCCCAGAGTGGTCTCGAACTCCTGGGCTCAAGCAATCCTCCCACCTTAGCCTCCCGGGCAGCTGGGACTATAGGCATGTGCCACTGCTCCCAGCTATCATAAATTATTTTTATAGTCAGAAAAATAGCTATTTTCAAAAAAAGAAAAAGTGATCCTTAAGAAATAGAAGGGATAGAGGAATAAGTTAACACCTCAAGAGAGCAAACAGCTGAGTCTAAAATGTGGGACATTATGCAAGATGATGGCCTGGTTTCTTTAAAGAAATCTTTGAAAGAAAAAAAGTAAGATGGGGGTCTTCTTAAAAAGCTTAAGACGCGAAATTCAGTATGTGACCCTTGTTGAGATTCTGCTTTTAAACTAACTATAAAAGGCTATTTTTCAGACAATCTAGGAAATCAACTGGGTATTAGATGGTATTAAGAAATTACTGATAATTTTGTTAGGATAATGGCATTACGGCTATGTTAAAACAAAAGTCCTAACACCAAAAAAAGTGACTCTGAAGGCTACTCTAATATTCTTATAATAAAATGAACTCATTATAAACCATTAACAGTAGAAAAGCAGAATGGAGGTGGGATGGGGGAACTGATCATATGGCATCCAAATCAGACTGAAAAGTCTGAAATTAAATCTTTTTCAAAACCTCATATGAATTTCTGCTCAAATCTGTCTTCCATAAAAGAAACGAGAGGCACTAGATATCCAGAGCCACGACAACTTGAGAAAACACCAGCTGTGCACTACAGAATCAGAGCAAGCAAAGCAAATGACAAACCAAACTTTCTCCAATAAGGCAGACACAGAAACAAAAAGGAACAAAGAAAAGCATCACGCTTCTGAGGAAGTCCAAAGCTTCCTGTACTTCAATGTCAAATTTGGGGAAATCCCTCTATGGTTCAGATTTTATCCTTTTGTTTGAAAAAATCTCATGGATTACCTTAAGCAACCTATCAGGTTAATACACACTTCTTTAAAAGACAGAAAACTCAGATAGGCTTGTTCTCTTCTGAGATTTTTTTTTTTTTTTTTTTGAGATGGAGTTTTGCTCTTGTCACCCAGCTGGAGTGTAATGGCGCAGGATCTTGGCTCACTATAACCTCTGCCTCCTGGGTTCAAGCAATTCTCCTGCCTCAGCCTCCCTAGTAACTGGGATTACAGGCGCCCACCACCACATCTGGCTAATTTTTGTATTTTTAGTAGAGATGGGGCTTCACTACGTTGGCCAGGCTGGTCTTTAACTCCTGACCTCAGGTGATCCAACCGCCTTGGCCTCCCAAAGTGCTGGGATTACAGGCGTGAGCCACCGCACCCGGCCTCCTTCTGAGATTTTATAAACATTTTTACTTCCCTGGGTGATTGTGTAAATTATATTGACTTCCTCACTTAAAGCAATAATGAAGCTCTTCCTCCTGTCAATTTAATTCACCCCAATGTACCAAATCTTCACAAGGGTTCAACAGATCAACAAATACAGACTGAAAATTCAGTAAGCCAACCATTTCCATAGGAAGAATGTGGAAAATGAAGTAAGTATGATTTTCCTTCAGTTCTTGGTATACATCATTACTTGCTCTTTCCTCCCAAAACACCTATCTGGTATCAAGGTATCTCTTACACCACTCACCATGGTATCTCTTAGACCACTCACCATGAAATCTCTGCAGCAAGTATTCCATAAGAGAAGTCAGTGGTAGGACTAGGAGAGCCAAAGCAAAGCCTACATTGAAATTCAGAAATCCATTAATTAAATAGAAATACCAGGGTTCTGTACCTGAGGGAGACATAAAGGTAAGAAATCATTAGTGGACATCTTTAACACCTGTTACGGTGCTTGACATAAAATGTTCTTTGTTTGAGTAACACTGATGATCCTATGTCTCATGGGAATGAGAGTCCACAGCCCACTCTTCCCATGCTAAGTCACACAAAAGCAGCACAAGAGCACAAGATGGAAGAGAATGGGACTGGTCATGAGGATTTAGGGAGAAATCAAGTTTCAAATATTTTCTATACTGTATTTT